ATGACAGGCAAACCGGACTTCTCATCACCTGACTTAAACTCTAGAATCTTTCTACTAGGAAAAAAGAATATATCCAAAACAATATGCAATTCAAAAGAAAAACACAAACAGAATAAAACGAAATTAAAACAGAGTTCACTCATCTTCTTCAAAACCCTATACTCTCTTACACTCCATGGCGGTGGCTCGAGAGGGGGACGCGCCCGCCGCTCATCCGCCTCAATAACCATGCTTCTGTATTGTTTGACGATATCTATGTATAAGATGTATTTTTGCTAGAGCTGTGCTAGGTGTACACAAAATGTGTACAGTGTACACTCGTCTGTCCCCCGCAGACAAGTGTACAAAAAAAGTGTACACATTTTGTGTACACCACACATTTTTCTTTTTGTTATTGCAATATGACAGTTTTCACTTGTACCATTTAAATCTATTCTAATATAAAAGCAAAAGAATTTCTAGGAATATTGTTCCCTCCCACAACTGTCAACATCAAGGACATATCAATAAATATCAAATAAAAAATCAAAAATGATAAAATTGTATGGTATCCAACATGTGGCGTAGAAATCCTACCTTCCAAATAGTGAAAAGTTAAATGGAATAGTAGAAAGTGGAATAGTAGAAAGTGGAATAGTAGAAAATCAAACAGTAAAAATAATAGTGTGAATGGCGATTGAACTTTACAGTTTTCAGCTTTAGTAACACTTTAAATTAGTAAAAATCAGCATGAATCAAATCCCGCCTGCCCGTGTCTTGAGGTGTTTGTGCACACCGACCCTTACCATGGCCATCTTGTGTTTTGGGGATTGTGAATCTTCTCAAGGAAGGATTATCCAATTTTCTCTATAAATGAGGACGCGATTACAATTGAACCCATTCGGTCCTTCAACCTCTCTTCTTTCATTTAAAGTTTTGAGCCTACAATTGTTGATGAGGTGAAAAGCAAATCAGAATACAACTTTAGAAATGTAAGCAAATGTCTAGGCTTCAAATAATTTCTTGATGTCTATCTTATAAATAAGCATGTACCTGCAGCAATGGGTCTCTCCAATCTCCACAGCTAATCCCTAATGAAAGTTTGTCACTGATCAAAACCAAATAGAAGGATTCTGGCCAAACATTTTTTTTTATGTGTAGTAGTTCAATGAAGGCATTTTATTTCAGTCTGAAATACACAACCAAAACTATGATAAAGAGATCATCAACATCATACAAAAAGCTGATAATTCTGAGCTTAGATTTATTAGTGTATTCAATGTTTTGTAAATCCAATCATAAAAGAAATCTCAACATAAAGTTTAAACACACAAGGATATGTCTATACATATAGACATACAAAATAGAAACACTTCACAAGTACATACATAAATGAAAATATACATCACAGGTTTTAATCCTTAAAGTACATAATGGAATTCTGTTTTGCCCATGTTGTAAGATAGATGTGGCGTAATATTTCTTGGAACATTTCAAATGCATACTTTCTGAAAAATCAAAACACATTTATAGCACCACCCTTTAAAGTATAGAAATCTCATGATAACCCATTTCCCTGTAAATTAAACGGATAAAAGAATATAACATTCTGGCATGAGAAATATACATGCCTTCATTCAAATAAATATTAGTTACAAACAATTTGTCATTCCAGTGTAAAATATAGTGAAAATTCATTTTTAAGATTCAGTAAAATCTAAAAAAATCATTAAAATGGTGTAAGAAAACAAATCTTTTAAGAGTTAAAATTGGAACATTGTGTATTGTCTAACTAAATATACAGAATGAGTGCTTTTAAGCGCTTTTAGATAAGTAAAAGTGTTAGTAAGAAATGAATTTTACGTATTTCAATCTTATGATGTCATTACGAGTTCCTTGTGATGTCATTTGGTTTAACCAACGCACCGGCGGCATTCATGGACTTGATGAACCGGGTGTTTAGTGAATACTTAGATCAATTTGTGATAGTATTCATTGATGATATCTTGATATACTCCAAGAGTGAGGAGGAGCACGAACATCATTTGGGGCTTATACTTGATCGGCTAAGGGAAAAGCAACTCTTTGCCAAGTTCTCTAAATGCGAATTTTGTCTCAAAGAGATTGGTTTTCTCGGTCACGTCATATCTGGTTCGGGCGTAGCTGTGGATAACGCCAAGATAAAAGCTATCATGGATTGGGAGAGACCCAAGAATGTGAAAGAGATACGTAGTTTCCTTGGCTTAGCGGGATACTATCGTAAATTTGTTGAAAAATTCTCCGTATTGGCGTCTCCATTAACGAAGCTCACAAAGAAAGGGGCCAAGTCCATATGGGACGACAAGTGTGAGAAAGGGTTCCTTGAACTGAAGAAACGACTTACCGAAGCACCAGTCCTTGCCCTACCCATACAAGGGATAGGGTATGATATCTACAACGATGCTAGCATCCAAGGGCTTGGATGTGTACTAATGCAAAACGGTAAAGTGATTGCCTATGCTTCTAGGCAATTGAGGAAACACGAAGTGAACTACCCTACCCACGATCTAGAGCTGGGGGCAGTTGTGTTTGCATTGAAGATTTGGAGGCATTATCTCTACGGGGAGACGTGTCACATTTACACTGATCATAAGAGTTTGAAGTATGTATTCACTCAGAAAGAGTTGAATATGAGACAGAGGAGATGGATGGAGTTGATCAAGGACTATGACTTGATCATCGACTATCATCCCGAAAAGGCCAATGTAGTGGCCAACGCACTGAGCAGGAAGAGTACGTCAGGGACGTTACTTACTTGTCTGCAGGCATTGAGGGAACGCGTGGAGGTGTCCACGTGCGGGGCTCTCATTGCTCAATTTGAGGTTAGGCCCACCCTATTGGGCGAGATTAGTCGAAGTCAGGCCATTGATGAGGAATGTCAGAAGATCCGTGAAAGGATCCTTGAGGGGCCCGTTGAGAACTTCCGAGTACGCGATGACGGTCTATTATTGTTTAAGGATCGTGTATGCATACCAAAGAATGAAGAACTCCAGAAGTCTATACTCGAGGAGGCTCATTCTTCAGCTTATGCTATGCATCCAGGAGGTACTAAGATGTACCGAGATTTGAAGGAAAGTTACTGGTGGTCAGGTATGAAGAGAGACATCGCAGAGTATGTGAGTCGATGCCTTACTTGCCAGCAAGTTAAGGCAGAACATCAACACCCGGCAGGGCTTTTGCAGCCACTCACCATCCCAGAGTGGAAGTGGGAGCACGTGACCATGGACTTCATGGTGGGGCTACCACGAACAGTGAACAACTATGACGCAGTATGGGTAGTGGTTGATAGGCTCACCAAGAGTGCTCACTTTTTGCCTATCAACATTACTTATCCTCTTGAAAGATTGGCCAAGCTCTACACGGAGGAAATTGTGAGATTACATGGAGTCCCGATATCCATTGTCTCGGATAGGGATCCACGATTCACCTCCCGATTTTGGCCAAAGTTTCAAGCATCGTTGGGTACTAAACTGAAGTTTAGCACAACTTTTCACCCACAGACGGATGGACAGTCCGAACGGGTGATACAGATTTTGGAAGACATGCTTAGGGCATGTGCGCTGGAGTTCCAAGGAAGTTGGGACAAGCATTTGGCCCTAGTGGAGTTTGCTTATAACAACAGTTATCAAGCAAGTATCGGCATGCCTCCATATGAGGCATTGTAAGGGAGGAAATGCAGAACACCATTGTGTTGGGACGAGGTTGGCGAGGCCAAACTCGAAGGGATAGAACTGGTTGAGATCACCAAGGCTAAGGTGAGGATCATTCAGGATAGACTGAGGGCTGCTCAGGACCGACAGAAGAGTTATGCTGACAAACGGCGGAGACCGTTGGAGTTCGAGGTCGGTGATGAGGTTTTTCTAAGGATTTCTCCTTGGAAGGGCATCATCTGATTTGTATCGAGGGGGAAGCTTAATCCCCGATACATTGGTCCATTTGAGATCCTTGAAAGGATTGGGGCCGTGGCGTACCGCCTCAAGTTGACACCAGAGCTTGAGAAGATACATGACGTGTTTCATGTATCGATGCTCAAGAAGTACATACGGGACCCATCTCATATCCTTGAGAAACCGCCGGTAGAGATCCGTGAGGATTTGCAATATGCGGTAGAGCCGGTGAAGATAGTAGGTCAACAAGTGAAGAAATTTAGGAACAAGGAGATTCCTATGGTAAAGGTTCTGTGGAGAAGTGATCGGGTCGAAGAAGATACATGGGAGACCGAAGTCTCAATGAGGGAGCAATACCCATCTCTTTTCGATTAGATACTTGGATTTCGGGGACGAAATCCCAATTAAGGGGGGGTGAACTTGTAACACCGTCCCCAAATATAGTTACTTTTACGAAAATAATGTATTGAACCTTATTAAGGGATTAATGAATTTACGAAGTTGTAAATTTTTATTATTTCATTCACGTGAATAGTTAAATTGCACGTGGGACCCACACCGGGAGCGGGGGTCGCCCGACATTCCCGAGACCTTATATTTTATTCATCTTGGTCTAGATAATAAACATATAGTGGTGGATATTTCATTTGGGCCAGGGAAAGGCCCAGAGTTGACCGATTGGTCAAGAGAAGCCCAAATTACCGGTACTGGTAATTTAACAGATAACAGCCCGAACTGAATTTCGGAGGCTTATAAATTAAAGTTGGGGAATGTATACTCATTATACATGTCATAATGAGTAAGAGCACATAATATATTTTATTTGACCCGATAAAATAAAATACATTTAAAACAGTCTGAAAAATACAACTTTCGGGACCGATTGTACACATCGGGACACAAAGGGATGACCTCCCACAAGAGTGGGGGCCACCCCACGTTTTTGTGTGCTCAAATTGACCAAAGGAAGGCCAATGGTACACATGATGGGAGGGTGAGACATTGAGAGACACCAAAGGGGTCCCTCTCTCACTTATTAGCTAAATGAGACAAAAGGAACCCATCCCCCTCCTTCCTCCTCATTGTACTCGACCAAGCTACCCAAGAAAGAGGAAGAAAAATCTCTCCAACCCTCCTCCATTGCTGCAACTCGAGCTCAACCAAGAAGGATCCAAGAAGTGGGATTAAAGAAGGAAAAAGGCTAGGAAAAGTGTGTAAAATTAAGGTAATCACCTTATTATAACTTTTCCTTTATTTTTCTTCTATCGTATGAGGTATATATATCATATGAAGGACCCTTAGTATGATTCCACATGTTATAAGTATGGATTTATGGGTTGGAAAATGGTTCTACGTCCAAAAACGGACTTAGAAGCCAAAACGACCGGTTCACCGGAAAATAACCCTTTTGAGGTTATTTGTATTAATATGGGTTTTATGATTATAAAACCTTGTTAGGCATTTGTAAAGGGTATTTCAAGTGATTTCACAAAGTTGGAAAAGTCGCCGGAGTTGTCGCCGGAGTTGACCAAAAGTTGCCGGAGTTTCACCGGAGTTCAACCAAGAAGGGTAGAACTTCATAACGCTAGTTCAAGGTGAGTGGACGGCTTAATATCTTATAACTTTTGGGTTAATTATAAGATTACCTAAATAAATGTTATAAGTGTTCATAATGATGTTTAAAAGATATTTAAACATGTGGTTAGCCAACATAGATAAGTTTGTATGAAAGGAATTAATTGTTTATACATGAAACATGATATGAGAAATAATATGAAATGCATATTTGTTGGGAATGTAAAAGAAGCACAAATGATTATTATTAACTTAATTACATGATGATTAAGTTGATATATACAAGGCTTGAATGGCGGTCAACGACAACGTTGACCGATGGATAATGGATTAATTAATATCGGTTGATATTAGTTAATTGTACATTTATATAATTGCATGGATTTGCATGAATTGTGATACATAAGTTTTATGTAATGAACTAGTTATGAATGACTAAGTATGATATAGACTCTATCTAGGTTGATAGGAGGTTGATCATAGGAAAACTTGGTGGAGGACCCTAGTACTTAAAAGTACTTAACACTCAAAACTTGGTGGAGGACTGATAGAGTATTAATTCTAGAGAGAAGTGAGAGCTAGAGAGAGAAAGTGAGTAATTATATTTCTCAACTTGGAACCCCCTATAATTAGCCCCTTGGGGTCTATTTATAGGTAAAATTGTGGATTTGGGCCCCTAGTCTTGGGCTTAGGAGGCCCATTACAATAATTATGCCTTCTTTGGGCGAATAAGGCCACTAATGGGCTGAGTACAACACTTAGTACATAAAATAGGAAAATACATTCTGCTGGACGAAGTCCGGACGACGCGGTCCGTGGACGATGCGGTCCATGGACGATGCGGTCCATGGACGATGCGGTCCATGGACGATGCGATCCAAAGAAATCAGGCGATATCTTCTTCATTGGACGTTACGTGCCTTTGGCCGATGCGGGTGCCCCGCCGGTGTCTTTCGGGCCGTTGAGTATGTGGGCCATGGGGTCCAGGCCCATATACTCTATCAGGAGTCCCCCACTCTCTGAGCTGAGGTGAAGCCGAAGCGAAAGGGAGTATTTGCTCCTCTCAGGTTGGCCGTTGCGTGAGCCTAAGGTGCTTGATGGCCGAAGAGTTTCTGCTTCGATTTTGGATGAAGCGGTTCCCTTGTTTGATGTGGATGAAGCGCTGACGTGCACTTTGTCGTGAGTGCACTCAAAATAAATTCAATACTAACACTTATACGTAGTATAGCGTAGTAGAGTTCGTATCCTCAGGGAAAGGAATAATTAATCTTTTTAATGAAAGGAGTAAATAAAGGGGGGTTTTGGGTTTGTTGGAATTTAATTAATTAAATACTAAGATGAAAGACTTATGTGAGATTTAATTCAAAGATAAAAAGGACTTGGCATTGCTACTTTCCACTTGTTGATATATTTTAGTCGATCATTGTTATATCTATAACTTATCCCCTCTCGAATACTCAATCGAGGGGTATATCCAATTCATCGAGGGTAGTTATTAACAACGACCGTTCATTAATAACCCTTACTATTAGTCAAGTATAGAACACCGCCATATACCGACTTGATAGTAGCATTTAATCTCTTAACTCCTTGATGAAATCAATTGAGATTGATAACCTCAACACAACGGTTTCGGTTTAACCAACAAAATTAATCCCTCTTAAGTTTACTAACCACGACCGTGCATTAATAAACCGAAGTTACTTACTTGTGAAACCATCAACGATTAACCATCGGTTCGTTGAACGTTTCTAGTAGTAATTAATGTTGAGATGTTAACTAATTGTCATCTTAGCAACACTCCCCAACATTAACATAGAGATAGATCAAGGGAAGAATTAATATTCAAGGAAGAAAATTAAATATGAATAATCCTACTATAACTAATGTCAAGATGTTATCTAATTGTCATCTTAGCAACACTCCCCAACATTAATATATAGATAGATTAAGAGAATAATTAATATTCAAGGGAAGAAGTTAAGAAAATAACTCACAACTTTAATAATCAACAAGCTTCAAGAGCAACACCAAGAAATGGAAGTTCAGCTCCTCATTTGGAGACTAAACATGCTATAAAAATATAAAAGAAATACTATTCTAAACTGAGCTTAAGAGTATGGAAGAAGGAGTGATTCTTTGTGAAGGAAAATGGGGTTATTTATAGGTGTTTTTCAACACCTTGGGCCGGGTACCCGACCGGGTTAGGTGCTTACCCGACCGGGTCCGGTCAAAATCAGATATCCTCCACGTTCTGGCGATCTTCGGCACGTTCTGGTGTCCCGGGTCAAGTCTGACCCGACCGGGTCAAGTAGGGGACCCGACCGGGTCTGATGATTTTCCAGGCAGTTTCGGATTTTACATCAGACCCGACCGGGTGCATGGTCTGACCCGACCGGGTTTGTGCTCCTGGGCACACTTATCACCTTTTTCTTTACTTCAAAGTCCTTCTTTTCAACACCCTAATTCCTAACTCTACTTTACAACTTACAAATGAAGATTAAAATACAATTACAATTAAAATCACACAAATGTTTACAAACTAAATAAAACGGTAAACAATCCACACAAATCAAACATAAAAACATACACTTATGCACTACTAATTAGTGCATATCAAACACCCCCACACTTGAACCTTTACTCGTCTCGAGTAAATCAAATCCAGTCCAAGAAGTCCTTAAAATGACAAGAGTATCAACACCAACATCCACGAGTGTTTTTAGAAACACAAAGCAATTACAAAGCATCCCCAAAAGTGAATAGAGTAAACAGGGGTCTTCAAATTCATCTTTTATCTCCATTTTTTCTATCAACCTCAATTCTTTTTTTTTTTTTTTTCGTTACCCTTAGGATCCTGCAAAAAGAAAATACTTGCTCTCATTCTCTCATTTTGCCTAGGTGCCCTTTCGGGTTTTCATCCTAGCTTCCCTCATGTTCTGTTTTAAGTCTCACAACTCACTCTTATTTTTTGCTTTATTTTTGCTTAAGATGCCCTTTCAGGTTTTCAACTTAACAAGCTTTTCTTTTCTTTTTTCTTTTTTTTTTTTCTTTTTTCTTTTTTTTTCTTTTTCCTTCTCTGTTTTTTTTTAATTTTTTTTTGAACAAGAACAAAAAATATGAATGTGAGTATTCCATGAAACTCTCCCCCCAAGCTAGCCAAAGCACTGTCCCTAGTGCTTTGTGTCTGAGATGTTCAAGAGAATGAACCTCTTTGCCCTTTTTGGTGTCATTTTTTTTTGTGTAGGAGTGAAAAGGGTGATGAGAAGATGAAGAAAATGAGGTTAATTTATGGATGTGGTGGAGGGATGACAGAGTTTCGAAGCTTTTGATGTTTAACAATGGAGGAAAATGGGGAGGGATTTTGAATTGGGGAAGAAAGGAAATGTTGATGACGAGTGAGCCCATTCTGTTTTGTGGCCAAAATCCGATGACCCGGCCGGGTGGGGTGATTGACCCGGTTGGGTGTTAAGTTTTTCGGTGGGCAGTGAGCATTTGGCCAGATGACCCGGCCGGGTATATTTTAGGACCCGGTCGGGTATTTAACTCCAGGGGCCGGGTTTTTAAAATTTGTATTCGCCCGATCGTGTTTAAGTATCCAAGCATGGCAGTGGCTGCAAAAAACACAGTGACCCGGTCGGGTATTGTGAGAACCCCGGTCGGGTGTGTCTTTTTTCTTTTTTTTTTTTTTAATTTTTTTAATTTTTTTTTACACACACTCACACAACTGAATAAGAAAACGTACCTTGCATGGGTTGCCTCCCAAGAAGCGCTTTGTTTAAAGTCGTGGCTCGACGATATCTTTATTTTCTTTTTCATGTGGGATCGTGGACATCCCTTGTTTGATTCTTCTTCTTTTGCCTTTTCCAGTAAGGCCGAGATTTCTTCTTTGTTACTACTTCAACCACAGGTGGTTTCAACTCGCATTGAGGCGACTCTTCTTTCAAAATAGATTTTTTTTGTTCAATTCTTCTTTCAAAAATTGATGTTTTTCTAGCCTCTTTTTCAATAAAAACATTTGGTGTTTGTGGTTCACAAACATTTAGAGAACAAAGAGTTTGTTCTTTAATTGGTTTTTTCGTAGAATCAAAGATGTTGAATTCTACTTTTTGGTCATCAAACTCTAAAGTTAATGAACCATCAGACACGTCTATTTTTGTTTGGGCTGTTTTTAAGAAAGGTCTTCCCAAAAGGATGGGTGTAGCTTGGTTATCGGCTTCCATTTCAAGTATATAGAAATCAACAGGGAAAACCAAATTTTCAACTTTTACTAGTACGTCCTCTACGACGCCCTTTGGGTATGTGCTAGACCTATCCGCCAATTGGATTACTACCCCGGTTTCATGCATAGGGCCAAGTTTTAGGGACTCGTATAATAAAAATGGGATGACATTTATTGAAGCCCCTAAATCCAATAAGGCCCTAGGAAATAAAGTGTCCCCTATTTTGCATGGGATAGTGAACATGCCTGGATCGTTGCATTTTTCCGGGAGTTTCCTCTGAAAAATTGCTGAGACACATTCACTAACCTTGACCTCTTGTTTCCCTTTCAATTTATTTTTTCTTTTCATTGTGCGTAGTTCTTTTAAAAACTTTGCATAACGGGGAACACTTTTGATTATTTTGAAGAGTGGGATATTTACCTCACAATTGGCGAAGGTCTCGTAGAGGTCCCGATCATTCTCCAGCTTCCTTGTGTCCTTCAGCGCCTCAGGGAATGGAGGGAGTGGTTCATATGATGACAGCGGAGGGAATTTTGTTTTTGTTGGCCCTTCCTCTTTGTGGTCAACCTCATCTTTTTCTTCTTCAACTTCCCTTGCTTGTAATTCCGGGCTACTCCTTAGCATGATGGCATTGACTTGTTGCCTTGGGTTTTGCTCAGTTTGGGAAGGGAGCCTACCCGAATCTCTTGCTTCAAGTCGATTCACAGCATTCGAAATTTGGCTAACTTGAGTTTCCAAATTTTGAATGCTTGACTTTGTTTCTTGTTGAAATTGCACCACGTTTTGTTGCAAGGTGC